AGCCCCACTTTCACCCTCTTCCACTCCATCCCCCCCCCTCTCTCTCTCTCTCTCTCTCTCTGTGTGTGCCCCGCTTTCACCCTCGTCCACTCCGCCACCTCTCTCTCTCTCTTCCCCCCCTCTTCTGTGTGTGCCCCACTTTCACCCTCGTCCACTCTGCCACCTCTCTGTGTGTGTGTGTGTGTGTGTGTGTGTGTGTGTGCCCCACTTTCACCCTCTTCCACTCCACCCCCCCCCACCTTCAACCTCTTCTAATACTCCTCTCTCTCTCTGTCTCTCTCTCTCTCTATGTGCCCCACTTTCACCCTCTTATAATCCTCCACCACTGTCACTCTCTCTATGCCCCACTTTCAGCCTCTTCAACTCCGCCCCCACCCTCTCTCTCTCTTGCTCTCTCCCTCTCTCTCTCCCTCTCTCTCTCGCTCTCGCTCTCGCACATAAAGACATCTCTCCGTCCACCTCCTCCACACCATCCTCTACAAGCCCACAGAATGTGCAAGAGAAAAGGCACTCAACCTGGTGTTCTGCTGATGGTTGCTAGTCGATGATGCATCTACTATGTTATTGTGTTGATTAGACTTTGCAGCACTGCAAATCAGAGGGAAGCTGTAGGTTGATAGTCCGTTTTCTACTGGGCCAGACAATCCCATAATATCCAACCAAAAGCAGTGCTCAAAGAGCCTCCCTTTCTGGATTAGTTGTTGCAGTTGGTAGACTTCAAAAACTTTATCACTATCCAAATAAGCCAGGCTTCGGAGACTGTTGGCTTGGGCCTCCTGGTTGGTTGGGAGGTACTGAGTCCGCCTCCTAGATCGCACCAGGTGTTAGGGATTCACAGCGGTTCTCACGCAATGTCAATCCATGCTGTCAACCCATAACAGCAAAACATTTGACGAGTAGAAGCTGGACTTCAATAGGAGATAAGGTAGCATGAGGTATATGACAGAAAAGAAAGAAAAAAAAATAGTCAGGCTCCCTTTGCACCGTTTCATCACTATCGAAACAAGTCCCCAGGGTCCCTTTCAACCTGTTCCCCTTGACCCTGTGCAAGGACCATTGAGAATGATGCTTGACGTCGATATCTTCCCCCCATATATTAACTCAAAATTATCTCATATTGACAGATTTCAAGATTTTACCAACACCCAGACACTCGCCCACAAATCGACTTCCCAGCACCCTTCTACCATACTCGTGCAATTTTGCCGGCACACTCCATCGCTCTAGCATGTGTCATGAAGCCTGGGCGCACAGCACCACCACTCACACAAGATGCTCACAGGTTCAAAAGCGCACAGATTACGGATGGAACAACTACAGTGAAACCGACTATGCCATATGAACCCACAGTTATTTCTTGCAGGAGGGTGAACAACGAAGTCCCTTACCATAACGACAGTCCTCTCCTTTCGTGTTAATCACGCAGGGACGGATACCTGTTCACTCTTTTTCTGGCGGTGATGAATAAACACTGGAGAACGTGCAGATGACTCTGCTTTCCCTCTTCCTTCAGCATTTCTTCTCCCTATTGGTCAGCAGACTTTGTTATCCTCAATCAGAAAAAGTTCGCAAGTATATATCGTCAAACAGAGCTGCCCGGTAAACCACAGGCAGAGAGGGAGAAGAGGAAGAGGACAACAAACGAGAGGCTGTGACAAACTGAACTGTTTCGTCGAAGTTCACTGAGTATATGTGTTGAGAGAGCATTGTCAACAATCCACTTCCAGTAGCCAACCAATTCACGCAGTACACGAGACAAAAAACACAGAGCCAAATATCCCGATTCTTTTTTCTTCCCATAGCCAAAAGATCTTCCTTCCCATTCCGTCAAACCTTTTTGCCCTGCCGCTCACATACCTCAATTCGAAACACTTTCCCTCCTAATCCACGTACACCGCGGAGCCAGCACCCCCTTACCAAAATCCGGTCTTACACATTATGACTGTCGGTTTGTCTACAAGACAATCCTTCAATTTCTTCTGCTTTGAGATCTTCTCATGTGGATGTCCCGTTGTGCGATTGCCAGAGACAAACAACAACGCTGAAAAACATAGCTGCACCAACTCATTTCAACTTTGGCGCAATGCACACATCCACCTCCCAAAGCAGAGGGTCGGACGCGCAGGCAGTTTACTCTCACCCTCTCCGCTGTTAATTCGTCCTCCACAGCTATTCCAGCAGTGCAAACTTTGTGAGCTCGGTGTCACTCCTCGAACACTGGCAATGACCACTGACTTGGGAGCAGAGACCAGTCTTCGCAGATGAACGGAATACCGAATGTGTGCATTCCTGTCTATACTACTACGCTAGCCTTGCAAATGTGACCACAATCAGCAGCAGACGCAAATTCAGCGCCAGACGCAAAATGTTTGATCTCATAACGTAAGACCAGAGTACGTCTCGAGTGTCGAGCTGGCATCGTTGGCCTCACGTTCCTGTGATGTTCTCAGCAGAAAGGTGACTCATCGCTGAAGGGACATGCTCGGAGCCAGCCAAGAAAAATTGCCAGCATAAGGGGACAACAGTCAGACAATATAACTAGTATTTGATAGCTTTGTCCATGGAAAGGTGGTCTTGAGAGACCGGCAGATTCGAGCAAAATTGGTTCTTTATATTTCTCTGCTTGTCCAAGGAGTCAGTGCAACCGGCAAAATACTGTTTCAATGCTCTTCCGCACCTCAGCGGCAGAAACAGTTTTGTGCAGATTGTTATTTCAGCTACCACGAACTTAACCCCCCAACCCATGGCCCCAACCGACTTCGGAGTCACAAGAGTCACTCGTGATATTCCGGAGGCTCGGGGCAACTGGACCAAAAAGGATGGCAGCGCCAGCCAAAAAAAAAAACGCGGCGCTAGCATTAGCGCACAGGGGGAATCCGCATCGAGAAAAGGAGACCTCGTTGGATGTACCAGTGGTTAGACAAACTGTGATGCATACACCTTACCGCCACGCCACGACCAACGTAGCGTTCTACGTCCGGGCCATGCCACGACCAACGTAGCATTCTACGCCCGGTCCCCGCCTCCGTTGATCCCCCGACACTTTGCTGAACGCAGGCATCGTGGCATCAGGTGGAAATGTTGGTCACCAGCATAACTGTCACCAGTCTGCTGCAATCCAATCGGCGGAGTTTGGTGCCTCCAAACCACCATTATCTACCGGGCCTTTGGTTCACATCACGGGACATACAAGGAAAGAAGCCAGTGATTTTCACAAAGAGGCTCGGTGGACCAGCAATTCACGCACTGCAACCGTTCAGTGTTCGGAAAAAGAAAAGAGACTTGGAACGACTGGAGGTTTAGGTAACCAGAGCGACGGGCAATTATCGATGGCAGGGTACACACACAGCACACACTCTCACGTTCACACAGCTTTTTTTCGATCCAACGCCACTGTTGGAACTGATCGTTGTGGTTCTCATAACAAGTACAGGAGCAGCAGGGTACCTGGTACGTTAATTACGTTCACCACACTCTATAGGAATCGCCGAGTCAGGTAAGATCCTCACATTCACATTCGCCACCCCACCATTTACCAAACACAATACTTACTTTCGAACACTGAAAGCGTTGGACCCTTCTGGACAATATCTTCATGATGTTTATTTTTTCTTTCCATCCTGATTCCGAAACTGACAAACTGACCAGTTCACATCTTGTTCAGAGCGATGGTTCACCATCTCTTCATGATGTTTATTCCTTTCTATCCTGATTCAAAAACTGAAAACTTTGGACTCCACTCGATTCGTGCGCTTCACTGACCAGTTCACATCTTGTTCAGAGCGACGGTTCACCATCTAAGCAGCTTCTTTTTCAAGGCAATGGATTAGTGTCTAGGTCATATCTTAGCCTGAGAAATGGCATCGAATGTAGTACAAAAAGACCTTTGTCAGAATACTCCTATCAAAACCAGATCCACCTAGCAAGCAAACGCACGGATTGGATCTGGTGCAACAGACACAGCAGACTTGATATCACCCAGGCAAGCAGACGCACAAGATTGGATCTGGAGAAACAGACATAGCAGACTTGATATCACCCAGGTCTGCAAGGGAGTTATAGTGCAAGAGGTAGAATTGGAGAGGAGAGATGCAAAGGCAGCAAGGACGATACAGTGGGGGGTATGAAACAGATTGCGGCAAGAGATCACTGAACAATCTTTCATTCCACAAGCAGCATTCAGCAAAATATGAAAGTCATCAAAGATTTAATTACCTTGCAAATCATACAAAACAGGCGAGCCTGTAAACAGCACAAGACTAGATCAGTAACTACGGCCACACTAAAAAATCAAAACAGCCGACGGAGACACGGAGACGTTGAACAAAGGACGCATACACGGAGGCATTGAACAAAGACTATTCATCTCCACGCTAGCTACAATTGCCGGGGAGAGCATTCTTCACCAACCTCACATGAACCTCGAATCCGGATCGCTGCTTCATTTGCTACTGCTGCTGCCGACAATTAGAGCATCAACGCACAGCTAGGCATGTGAACCACCAATAAACCTACTGCCTCTGGAACGCCTTGACACCTCGATGATAGGTAGTGGACAAAACAAAATCAAACACAATACCCCATGGCAACCCCCTTTCACCCCACCGTTTCCCCCTGGAAATCCTACAGAAGGTAATTTCGCCTGTTCATTGGACGGACAAAAAGCCCAGTATGACAAACTCCGACTTCTGAAGCCCTGAAAGCTAGAAGAGACCATCACCACACCCTTGCCATCACCCTCTGCTACCTCTCCCCCCCCCCSCCCCCCGCCCCCCCTCCTCTCTTTTCWCCCTCCCTTCCATCCCCCATGTCCCTCACTCCCCCTATTTTACGGAGTCTCAGTACAGCTCTCTCTCTCAGACGACAAAGGCCCTTCGGCTGTGTCTAATAGATATAGATTCAGCAACGCTCTTCCAACTGACATCCAAAAGGATCATGGCATCAAAACAGGAGCCGCCACTTCCCCGCAGAGGGAAAGGTAAACATTATTCACATCTTGGTCCGCGTTGCGTCTCGTGTTGCATCCCGTGTCGCTTCCTCGCGTGATGAGGGGAACAACTCGAGGTACCGATTTCCCAGCATCATCCGGTCCTTGCACATGGCAGATTTGGAAACCTCTGGGCCCGAGAACTCGACATAGGCTTCCCCCGTGGCCCGGCCGTCGCTATGCAACACGATGTGTATGTTGTCCTCCACAAGCGAGAAGTCCTGGAAGAAGTTCATGATATCCCGCTTCGAAGCAGAAAATGGAAGTCCACGCAGCTTCAGCACTCCAGTGTGCTCCATCTGCTCCTTGTCAGGACCAGGTGGCCTGCTGCTAACAGCACCAACAGGCAGGGTGCCAGGGGCAGCACTAGGATGATGGTTTTCTGATTGAGATTCAGAGACCTCAGCAGCCACAGCACTATAGTAGTCCGTCTTCTTGCTTCGGAACACTTCAATGTAGCGCCGCCCCATGTTCTGTCGATTCCGCTGCAGAGCGAAGTCTACTTGCATGGGAGCTCCAAACACGACAAAGGCCTCCCCAGAAAACCTCCCCCCCTTATGCGATAGAAGCACATCTACGACATCCAGGCCCGCAAAGAAATCAATCACATCATTCTCGTTGCAGTTGAAAGGCAGTCCGCGCAACTTAACTACGGGAAACGTCCGAGGTGCAAAGAATGACGCGGCTAATTGGGGCTGATATCCCATACCCATTCCCTGCGGTGAAAAGAACGTCCCTGGGTCCATCATTCGCTGCCTTTTCGCGGATTCGTATCCGTCTGCACCACCTCCCCCGCTGCCCATCAAATCCCTAAAAGAAAGACCCACCCACCCATTAACCCAACCCGAGTCAATCAAACCCATCCGGCACTGTTTCAAAACACCATTATTTCCAATATTAACCATCCTCAACTCAGTACCATGACCAGCACCAACATGACCACCAGCAGCAGCAGCAGCAGCAGTAGCACCAACCGACCCGACAACCTCTATCACCCCACCCAGAAGCAATCAATCATCCTCCCAATTAAAGCTCAGATCCTTTTGAAGACGATCAACACAGGACTTGCTTGTCTAACACTCTTTCCTTCCAAACTGCTCCTAGTGCAAAAAGACACAAGGTTGTTAATGTGATCACAGGGCAGCCATTGCAAGCAAACGACTCTGCATTCCAAAACAGAAGACGCACCGCCACAACAAAGACTATGACGGGATTGATGCATGAACACCCACCGCACACGAATACAAAAACGAGAAGAGAGACATAAACACGACACAGGGGAGTATAATGACCGAACAAAAATGGGAAGAAGATTTGTCAGCCTTCCAGGACTGGCGCGACTCATTCAGTCGTTATCCTCCTGTGGCGGCGCCAGACCATCTAGCGAGACACGACAAAGGAACAGCTAAACTGATTTGCAAGTACTTCCAGGAGAGGAGGACAGAAATGCAAATCGTGGTCAAGCAGAGGGTTAAGAAAACTGGTGAGGAACCTCTGGCAAGCGCTCTCATTCGGAGTATACTTCACGATTGCCTGGATTCAGGGTAGTAAACGGCTCATATCATATCAGTTGCTGAACAGACTACCCATACGTGCATCCATTCAAGAATTCATTCATTCATTCATAAAAATAGAACGGGAGTCGATCCGAGTGAAAATGGCAAAATGCGCGCATCCGAACAAGAGTTAATAAGAGATCATCTGAACAAAACACATGACTGCAGCAAGCAACGAATCGAACAATCAGTTAGCGTTGTCTCTGATTAGACTAGAGAACGCATGTTTGGTTGAGGCCGTCTCTAATTAAACTAGAGACTTCAGCAGAAGACGAGCACAAAATGACGTGCTGATTGTCCAGATGTGCACAGATTCAGTGGCAAGGTGACCCTTCTGTTGTTCAGCATTGCTGCTGATCAGATTAAACCTCGCAACGAGCTTGGCATGGGTCGAGGGAGGGAGGAAGGGGGGGAGAAACATAGACACACTGCGGGGCCTCGATCACAGGAAGACAGTCCATTACGGATGTAAAGTTCAGCCGTGTTTGGTCTGCAGACGAAGACCGAAAGCCAGTAGTAACAGCGAGAGAGATACAGCGTCTTGAACCAGCGATCTGATCAAGGATGGCCATTCAGCCTTCCTCCGCATCCTCGTGCTAACAGCTCTGTGGTCAGTTGCACGACGAATTAGCGTCTACTCAAAACTTCGCACAAACCGGCAGATCCAAGCGAAGCCAAGAGTCTCGCAAATCATGGTCGAATGACCGTGTCCCATTCCGCTACTTTTACATCAGAAATGATGCAGCCTGCACACACATCTCACACCTCGATGGCCAAAGACATTGGCCTGCTTTCAGCCTGCACCGACATCTCACTAGAAGCCAAAGCAATTTGACTTCTAGTAATTCCGCTGGCCATCCGACACAGATACTGGAAAAGAACGACCTACATTCTACTCTTCACTTGCCACCCTTTCGGGGACTCTACATCTCAGAGCGTCACACACTACCCCATTGTTCTGACGGGGTCAGGGGCAAGCATTTGCCTCACTTTCTCTACCAGATTAGTCTGAGAGCATTTGCCTCACTTTCTCTACCAAATTAGTCTGAGAGCATTTGCCTCACTTTCTCTACCAGATTAGTCTGAGAGCATTTGCCTCACTTTCTCTACCAGATTAGTCTGAGAGGTGCGGATGTCAGCATTCCCCCTACTTTCTTCCCAGGAAGAACTCACTTCTGCACACGTAAGAGGTCAGTCGACCTTCAAGATACTCACTTCGTCTCGGCAGACTTGTAGTCGGCACGGCATGGTGAGGAGGACTCAGCTTATCTTCTCTGCACCTAGTTAACTCCTCAGCAGGTAGGTATCTCCTCTGCAGGTAGGTAACTACTCAGATTGTTTCCCCAGGTTGCTACCTGCTACGTAACTATTCGGCTTAATTTCCTTTTCACACAGGTAACTACCTGCTCGGTAACTACTCGGCTTTATTTCCTTTTCACATGGGTAACTACCTGCTAGATTGTTTCCCCTGCTAGGTAACTTATTCGGCTTTATTTCCTTTTCACACAGGTAACTACCTGCTAAGTAACTGCTCGGCTTTATTTCCTTTTGACATGGGTAACTACCTGCTAGATTGTTTCCCCTGCTAGGGGACTCCTCAGGTTGTTTCCCGACAGGTCCGCTCCAAAATCGCCAGTTCGTTTCCTCTGCAGGTCGGTAGGTAATTCAGTTTGCTTCCTGTGAAGGTGGATTCTGCGAAAAACTTCGTTCATTTTCTCCGCAGATAGGAAAACTCGATTTGTTTTGCGTCTCGGTTATTGTTTCATCGGCACGAACACAGGTCAGGTACTACATTCCTCTCTCTGCACGTTGGTAAATTCAGTTTGCTTTCTCAGCAGGTAGGTAACTCAATTAGACTTCGGCAGATAGTTTCTTTGGCAGGTATTTGCCGGCACACTGTGCGAATAAGCATATATACCGCACTGATTCTGGAAGTAGGTGAGCATGCCAATATGAGCACAGGTCGCTCAGAGCGTGCGAAGCAAATGATTTCCGTCTGACTTATTAAGTCGTCAGCGCGAGCAACCCATTTCCCCTTTCCGATCAAAGTGTTTGCACTGGGGACTCCTCAGACCTCTGCCACGCTCATACAGGCGCTACAACCATGATATGCATCCGCCAACACATAAGGATCAGGCATCAGCAAGAACGAAGGACGAGTCGCCTTCCGTTAGGCAAGCTCCAACAACCCCACGTCATCCAGCCATTCACAAATGTTAACGAATTTATCCAATCTCATCCGCTGATCGAATGCAATGATCTGAACCACTGATTAAACCCGGTGACAAAAAAATTCCAGTAACACGATACACTAATCTGTTCCAGTGGCACGATCCAATAATCCGATCCACTGATTCCATCCAGTGATCTTGTTCAGTGATCTGGTTCAGTGATCTGGTTCAGTGATCTGGTCCCGTGATCTGATCGAGATCCGATGGTCGAGAATCCGTAATCCGATCCAGTGATCCAATCCAGTCATCTGGTGTAGTGATCCAATCCAGTGAGTGATTTAATCCAGTAATTCAAGACTGATCCAAGTTCGATCCACGACTGATCCAAGATTAATTCGATTCACTGACCCAAGATTAATTCGATGGAATCCCGTAATTAAAGACTGATCCAAGATTAATTCGATTGAATCCAGTAATTCAAGACTGACCCAAGATTAGTTCGATTTAATAATCCAGTCGATTGAATACAGTAATTCAAGACTGATCCAAGATTAATTCGATTTAATAATCCAGTAATTCAAGACTGATCCAAGAATAATTCGATTTAATCCAGTAATTCAAGACTGATCCAAGTTCGATCCAGTTGCCCGCTCTATAATTTTCATGATACCATACAATATTGCGAGGCACCTGCGCCCCCCCCCCCCCCCCCACTAGGCTGCGTCCAGAGGAATAGAGTTATCCCCCTTACTCAGCGAATAAAAGGACAAAGAATACAATGCACGATGTGAATTCAACACAATGCGCAGCTCGTGAACTTAGTCGACGTTTCAACCAAACGATACACCACCATCTGGGCACGGTTTCCAAACTCAGCCGACGGAGGCACTACATATAACTCTGAGATCGAGAATTTGAGAGAGCATTTCAGACATTATAGCCCGAGTCATTTCTGGCTCAAAAATTTTCGGAAAGCATTTCGACATTACCACGCATCTATGAACTCTGCTGCTAGCTTCGCAGAAATTTGCGACAGCTGCGAGGGTTTCTGTCCTATACTTTGCAGCCGTCCTCTCATCACCGAAATCAGCTTTTTTCCCCGTCTTCCTTTTTTCTTTTTTTTCTTATTTTTCTTTTTATCTTTTTTTTTTCTATAATCCTATCCAAACGAACAACAGCCGAACTATCATCTCACGCCCAAACACTCTTGGCGGCCAAAGACTTGCCCCTAACCTTAACTAAAGGTGTGCATCAAGAGGTGGACTGAAGTTCTACTCCCATTGCGTTACGATTACGATAATAATAACCAGCCATATATATTGTCACATGATATCAGAGCGCCAAAGCGAAAAACAGAAACAAGAAAAACTTAATTCATTTTTAATCTTTTTCCTTACAACTATACATAAAATTCTTTAAATCCTTACAATGGAAGGTGGCAATGCCAATTCGTTGACGATAAATCACCTGACTTCAACTCGCTCTCCACAATCAAATAGTCTTCACACAGTCCAACCACAATCTCAAACGTTTTGAGGTAAAGGGTACTCTCAGCCGTGGTGGGTCCCTCTCAAAGCTCGAGTTAGTTTTCTTTTTCGCCGGTGAACAAATTCGGCAGCTGCTAAACACAAATGCGAAATCGAAAAACAGGACCGTAGTTCCGTCGACATGGCGAGGGCGCTGGTTATGCCGATCAACTGCGATCCTTGACCCCTTCTCCCATCTCACCCCCTATAGCTGATCACTATACAAACGAGTCCATGGTTTCTAGCAACAAGTAGTACACCCTTAAATCTGCCACTGTGGAAACGCACTCACCGATACGCTGTGGAAACAATTTATTGGTAATCAAGCGCTTGATCGGTGGATTACGCCCAAGTTCGAATGCCCATCAAGCGGCCAACGACGGCAGATCGAGGTTCCGAGAACCGGCCCGTTGATTAGACCCCAATTCTCCTCTCTCTCTCTCTCTCTCCCCACACAGAAAATAAAGAACACCGCGCAGCCTCGCTGGGAAGGACGAGGTACAGTGTACCCACCAAGAGTCGAAGAGGCAAGACGCATTTACTGTCGTCGGTGACTG